TTCGACACGGTAAATCGTGAAGGACTGTGGAAGATCATGCAGAAATTCGGCTGTCCAAAGCGATTCACTCAGATGCTGCGTCAGCTGCACGACGGTATGATGGCGCGAGTCACGGAAAACGGGGCTGTCTCAGAGGCATTCGCAGTGACCAATGGAGTGAAGCAGGGCTGTGTACTGGCGCCTTCCCTCTTCAGTCTTATATTTCTGCCATGCTGATGGACGCCTAACGCGACGAACGCCCGGGGATCCGCATCGCCTATAGAACGGACGACGGTCACCTGCTGAATCAACGCCGTATGCACTTCCGATCGCGCGCGTGGATATCCACCACCGTTCACGAATTCCTCTTCGCCGACGACTGCGCCCTGAACACAACCTCGGAAGAGGAGATGCAACGACGCATGGATCTGTTCTCCGCAAACTGCGAGAACTTCGGTCTGGTTATCAACAGGCAAAAGACGGTGGTGATGCATCAACCGCCACGCCACTCAGCCACAGCCCCCAATTAGTCGCCGCAAATCAGCGTGACTGGGACTCATTTGCAAGTGGTAGAGAACTTCCCGTACCTGGTCAGTGCCCTCTCCCGCAACAGCAAGATCGACGACGAAGTATCCAACAGGATCTCGAAAACCAGTCAAGCCTTCGGTCGCCTCCAAAGCACAGTTTGGAATCTTCATGGACTCCAACTCAGCACGTAGGTTAAGACGTATAAGACCGTCATTCTGCCGACGCTGCCGTACGGAGCGGAGACTTGGACGGTGTACACAAAGCAGGCACGTCGACTGAACCACTTCAACCTCAGTTGTATTCATCGCATCCTGAGGCTGAGCTGGAAGGCCGAATCCGCTACACCGATGTGCTGGAACGGACGGGAATCCTCAGCAACTACATCACACTGCGACAAATGCAGCTGCGTTGGAGCGGCCACCTGGTGCGCATGGACGACGAGCGACTACCCAAACGACTCTTCTACGGAGACGTCGCGACGGGTTCTCGTCGTCAAGGAGGCCAAATTCGCCGTTACAAAGATACTCTGAAGTCCTCCCTGAAGCGCCTGCAAATCAACCCGTCCAACTGGGAAGAGCTCGCCCGCGATCGTCCGACATGGAGGAGAACAGTGAAGACGGGCGCTGCTATCTACGAAGCCAACCGAATCGCCGCCGCCAAAGCGAAACGCGAAGCCCGCAAATCACAACTTCGCCCAATACGCAACGCCGCCGCACAACCGCTCCCTAAGTGTCCTCGATGTCAACGGACATTCCGGGCACGAATCGGACTTGTTGGACATCTCCGAACCAACTGCACCTCTCTAACTGCTCCAGCCATCGTCCCCCCGCCCGCCTCTTCCTCGTCCTCTCTGCCGCCAACTAACTCTGACTCTCCTCCTGCACCACCACTTCCATCCTCCTCCTTCTCCTCCACTGCCCCAGCGGCGGCCGTTCAGACTGCCGTCTCACACATCACCAACCCCGACACAATAACCGCCACCACCCCCACCTCTCCCGATTCCAGTGATGAGGATCAGGACTACACCTGCACTCACTGCGACCGCACCGTCACCTCTCGCATCGGCCTGGTCGGTCACTTGCGAATCCATCGCACAGAGACCGGCGAACCAGTGCCTGGAGCACCAACCTACACCCACCGCACTCGCCTCCACTGCCCACACTGCCCTCGCACCTTCACGCATCGCATGGGTCTATTTGGCCACATGCGCATCCACGATGATCTGCGGTAGAAAACCGCGGTCACACCACACATTCCCTCACTCCCTACCTCCTAACACCATCACCCCACCAGACTGCAACCCTCACACACCTCATGCACCAACTGCCGCCTCCCACGCAAGTGGGAAGTGTGCATCTCGACTCGGTCCCCATGCGGCTTCGGCTGCACGGGTGACTTGTGTCCGAGACTATCCCGACACGTCAAGCGTCGTGGATAGGACGGTTGCTGATTGAGAGCCGCCCTCGGTTCACGCAGTTTGTCACGTTGTGTGTGTGTGTTGTGTGTAGTGGCGGACTGGTGGGCTGGGGACGGGCTGCAACAGCACCTTCCACGGTCCTCTCACGCAAGTGGGAGACACGTAGTTCTACCCCCGTTGTGGTAAATCCTGCTGTTTTTGTGTATGGGGGACCAGGTCGTGCTGTGGCGCGCGCAGGCATGGTCAGTCGACCATGTCAGCCACCGCGCCCACTCCCCACTCCAGTCTACTGACCGGCTCGGACAGTGGCTGGGGTGTGGGAATGGGAAGGGAGAGTGAGGTCGACGACTCAGCGCACTTTCTCCTCACTATAATCAATCTGACGCGCTTGTAGCTATCACGGTGCGCTAAAAGCCGTGGCTTGGATGGTTGCCAACTGACGGGGTACCTTGGACCTCCTCCTTCACCGGAGGCGGTCTGAGAGTCAGGCTGCAATGGCTCCTTTTTAATGTGGCCTTTATGGCACTCTCACCACAATGTGGGATCCAAACCAGGCGTTGGCGGCACGCCTAGGTGTGGCTTCGGCCGTGCCAGCTTCCAAATCTCTGTTGTGTTGGTTGAAATCCTTGTCATTTGTGTGTGGACCAGGGGGTGTGGTGGAACGCCTAGGTGAGGATATTGCCAAGTGGGAGTATTTGCAGTGTGATCTTAGAGGAATTTCAGACTATGCATATTTCCCCCTCTGTTCGACCCCCAACTTCAATATGCTGCTTTCCTTGTTCGAAAATGAACTTGAAAACTCAAGTGAGCATTACTTTCGCCTTAGTAATCGAGTGATTTTCCTCACAGTAAAATAACACTGTTAAGGAAACGCCAATTCTGAAAATTAAGTGGAGGTGTCACGTTGGTCGGCCTCCAACGTGAGACGCCACTTGGGATTTCTGGTCGATAAAGTGCATTTTATACTTTAGCAATGGAGAGCCGATCAAGCTCTTCGGAGAGGCAGCATCTTAATAAACCTGCTCCGGTGAACCCATCTTCTTCTTATTCTTCAAATAACCAATCCGGATCTCTCAACTTTGTCAATCTGAACAGATCGGGGTCCGTCTGGCATTAATTGGAAAGGGGCACTCAGCAAATTTCAAAATTGTGTCGACTTCAGCCTGCCAGGCAAGCCGCGCTTCTAACAAAAATTTCAGTTTACAAAGTCATAAAATTGCCAAAGTCATTTTTGAGAAAAAATGATGATGTAAGTAATCGAAAAACAGCTAGATCATAAGCAGTCACAATTTAAACTTATTTACTCGGGAAATCGTCAAACGAATCAAGAAAAGCTACAATGAATGCGGGCTTCATCATTATAAACATGCGCATGATAGCATAGGAATTGCAGCTTATAAAAATTTCCCCCTCTGTACGTCCACGACGTCAGTCTGTTTCTCTCCTTCAGAAAAAAGAATCCGGAAAATCAAGTGAACATTATTTTCGCTCCAGCGATCGAGTGAATATCCTCACACCAAAATTACTCTGTTAAGAATGCTTCACTTCTGAAAAATAAGTGGGTTCAGTCTCCGTTGCTCCTAAGCCTAACTGGTGGGATTCGAACCCACGACAGTCAAGAGAGGCTTTAGTACAGCCAACGTTCTAGCCACCTTAGATACGAGTCCCCACCGTACGACGCGAGCTGAACCACATCTAAATCAAGTTTTCCCGTTCGATCTACTGCAACGTCTGAAATCCACCAAATCTGATACCGTAAGCTGTCTATCCAGGCATAATTTCCTAATTAATGCATCTAAAGTCCACCAGACGGCCACCGAACTCACGTAATTTATAGCTGTTATGACAGATACGATTAGTGTTGCGTCGTCCGGTGGAGCCTCTTAGCTCAGTTGGCTAGAGCGTTGGCTGTACTAAGGCTTTCCCATGGTGTCATGTGTTCAGACCCCATCGAGACGCCGAGTACTTCACATGCGTGTCAAAATGACTCGTGAGTGTACTTGAGTTTCATATGGCAATATCGACAATAGTCGGCCAAGATGCAATAGGCTCGCATTGCGAAAAAAAATAAACAGATATGGATTATTTGACATAGTTAAACCATTGGTGTCGTGGGTTCAAATCGCACCATGGCACCGAGGTCTAACAATTCGATCAACATGAATGCGTGGGACGTTAGGAAATATATTCTGTAAACTGAAGAGGCTCTCGCTTCTTACGTATAGGCAACTTAAGACTATACAGGGGTTATAAATTTAGGTACGAATGTTGCAATCATTGCATTAGGGCTCCTGTCCTCATTATTCACAAACCAAGTGACAGACGTGAGCAGATCACGCCACTTCAGGTGCATGGATTTGCACTAAAATCTACTGATCCGATGCGGAGGGAGGAAGTTGGCTGGGTGGTGTTTCGTATGTGCAGATTGCAGGCGCCCTCGTGTTGCGTGCTAACAGGGGGACATTGACCTCCGTGAAAGAAGCGGATGACGCAATCTCTACTCAATCTTCTCTTCAGTCTCGCAGCGACTGCCGCCCTGAATTACACCAGCCCTTCGCCTAAGCTAAATGTAGCCACAGATGATCAAGATGGTGATTGGGAATCGCCGTCTTTCAGCTGCTGTACGTCAAGCATAGTCTGCTGTAGAGAGTGTTTTCGATCAGAGTTAGGCAAACACCAGACAAAATCGAACTGATGTAAACTGCACTAGGTTCTGTAAAATACCCACTTCTGTTTTCATCTTGGGGGTTATAAACGACGGTGGCGTAAGTAACAGAATGAGAGCCAGAAAGATTAATTCAGATGATGCGTCGGCTCCATGGTGGCATGAAGGCGCGATTAACAGACAATAGGACCTGACAGGAGATATCAAGAAAAATGACACCCAGGTAAGCCGAATATTGACTTGTTGTCTTTGCCCGCTCACAATCTCCATTCCAGCAATGAGCTAGATTAAAGGCTAGACAAGCTTCCAGTCGCTGTCGCCACCGCCACCGCCGACCCCGAAGCCACTGACGAGAACGCCTCCGTGGAGAACCGATGGTGTCAACAGCGAGACACGGTCCAGTCGACCGCTCTAATAGACTTCGGCCACGCACGCAGACAGGGAGGCGTTCTCGGCAGCGGCGTCGTCGGCAGCGATCCGAAGGTTGTCTAGCCGTTGAGCTAGCTCATTGCTGAAATGAAGATGATGAGCGGGCAAAGACAACAAATCAACATTCAGCTTACCTGGGGGTCGTTTACCTTGTGGTCTCCTGCGAGGCTGTAGGCGAATACGCATCTTAGAGATGACGAGGCGATGGTCGGTCCACCCGTCTGCACCCGCGATCGCCTTCGTCACCAGCACGTCCCGCTGATCTCGCCTCCGGACGAGGACATAGTCCAGCAGGTGCCACTGATGCGACCGAGGATGCCTCCAGGTGGCCTTCTCTCGCTCCGGCAGACAGAAGAAGGTATTCGTAAGGGTGAGGCGGTGTTCTGCGCAGGCGCGAAGCAGTAGCAGACCATTGTCATTGGAGCCGCAGAGTCCGTGGGGGCCCAGCACTCTTCTCCAGGCAGTATGGTCTGTGCCGACGCGGGCGTTGAAGTCACCCAGGACAATCAACTTGTACTCCTTTGACACAGTCGCCAAGAGGGCGTGCAGGTCCTCGTAGAATTTGTCCCTAACGGCGGCCTCGGAGCAGCTCATCGGCGGAGCGTAGGCGCTGACGATGGTGGCGAATTTGCCTCCCCGTCGGAGAGGCAGACAGAGGCTCATCAGGCGGTCGTTGATTCCCTGCGGCAGACTGGTCAGTCGTCCCACGATGTCGGTCCGGATGGCGAAGGCGACACCCGCGTCTTGTCGCTCTGCCCTGGGTCGACCACTCCAGAAGAAGGTGTAGCAGGCACCCACCTCCTCCAGTTGGCCTTGTTCGGAGAATCGGGTCTCGCTGAGTGCGGCGATGTCCACCTTGTAGCGCGCCAGTTCTCGTGCCACTAGCGCCGTCCTCCGTTCCGGTCGGTTGCTCCTCGGATTGTCTAAAAGGGAACGAACATTCCAGGCTGCCAGAGTGAGCAGGCTCACCCTGCCAGTCTGGTGACAACGAGTGGGGCGACGGGAGGGAGGTGGAGAAGAAGGTGACAAAGGAGAAGTATAGGCAGAAGAATAGACGGAGGTAGAGGAGGAAGAGGTAGGATGAGGAGAATGAGTATGATTGTTGTTGTTGTAATTGATATTGTTGTTGTTTCGATTTTGATTGTTTCGACCGTGTTGATGGCATCTGCGGCCTTGGCTGGCCTGCAGACGGCGTGGTGTCGAGCATTTTTTAGACCATCTTTTCTAGGCCCTTCCCCTCATGGGGGCGGGCAGTGCCGTCCCTGAATCGGGCTGCCCATGTGCCTGGTTGGCCCGACTTAATCCCACTATGGGGCCACGACTTTTATGTTCGTAGTGGAGAACGACCGCATGTGCCGTGAGTCCGCGGTCTCCGTCGGCGAGGGTGGGCGCGTCTCAGCGAAGGCGATGCAGAGACCCGTCCCGGCAGCAGTTGTCCAACGGCGTACCAGGCAGAGCCTCGTCTCGACGATGCCGGCGCAGTGTTTCATCCGACCATCCATCCAGCGGAGTCCGCGGTACGCTGTGCACTCGGCACAAGTGCACAGCGCCCTCATCTGGTTTAGCCCGCCCGTCGAGACGGTTGCCCGGGGTGTGGCCGCTGAGCAGAGCCCAGCTACGTGGAGCCACAGGTGAGAGTTGGGTGCCAGCAAATGGACGCTAGGTGTAGTCTCACCTGCAAGCAAGTGAGCGACCACTACGACCATCACGTGAACCCACCGCTGGACACCCCTACACCCTACACTCACACACACACACACACACACGACAGTTCGTCCGTCGATTTCGACGATGACCACCGTGTGCCCCACAGAGTGCATTGTGGAAGGAGGGACGGTGACTTACGCAGGGGTTTATAGTGCCAGTAGACTTGCGTAGCATCTATCTACACTCCCTCCTCCTCCCCCGCCTGAGCCCGGTGTCAAGACAGAGTCAAGAAGACCGGAGACGAAGGAGGCCGCAGGTGAATGGCTCGGACGGATCCTCGCCTTGGCGCTCCACTCCGCACCCCCTGGTCCACACAACAATGACCAGTATTTCAACCAACACAACAGAGATTTGGAGGCTGGCACGGCCGAAGCCGCACCTAGGCGTGCCGCCAACGCCTGGCTCGGATCCCACACTGTGGTGAGAGTGCCATAAAGGCCACATTAAAAAGGAGCCATTGCAGCCTGACTCTCAGACCGCCTCCAGTCAAGGAGGAGGAGGTCCAAGGTACCCCGTCAGTTGGCAACCTTCCAAGCCACGGCTTTTAGCGCACCGTGATAGCTACAAGCGCGTCAGATTGATTATAGTGAGGAAAGTGCGCTGAGTCGTCGACCTCACTCTCCATTCCCATCACCACACATCAGCCGCTGTCCGAGCCGTTCAGCAGACTGGAGTGGGGAATGGGCGCGGTGGCTGACACGGTCGACTGACCATGCCTGCGCGCGCCACAGCACGACCTGGCCCCCCATACACACACACAAACACCAGGATTTCACACAACGGGTGTTGAACGGCGTGTCTCTCACATGCGTGAGAGTGCCGTGGAAGGTGCTGCTTCAGCCCGTCCCCAGCCCACCAGTCCGCCACTACACAACACACACACAACGTGACGAACTGCGTGGACCTAGAGCGGCCGTCAATCAGCAACCGTCCTATCCACGACACTTGACGTGTCGGGATAGTCTCGGACCCAATCACCCGTGCAGCCGAAGCCGCATGGGTTCCGAGTCGAGGTGCACACGTCCCACTTGCGTGGAAGGTGGCAGTTGGTGCATGCGGTGGGTGAGTGTTGATGCGTGTTGTTGGTGGTGGAGGAGGGAAGGAGGTGTGCGGATGTGTGATGTAACCGGCGGTTGTCTACCGCAGGTCTTCGTGGATGCGCATGTGGCCGAATAGGCCCATACGATGCCTGAAGGTGCGAGGACAGTGTGGGCAGTTGAGACGAGCTTGGTGGGCGTAGGTTGGTGCTCCAGGCACTGGTTCTCCGGTCTCTGTGCGATGGATTCGCAAGTGACCGACCAGGCCGATGCGTGAGGTGAATGTGCTTGGGCAGTGTGGGCATGTGAGGTCGGCGGTGTCAGCGTTAGCTACAGAGGAGGCGTTGGTGGTGGTGCAGACGGATGGTGCGAGGGTGGTGCTGGGCATGACGGGCGTGGTTGGTGTTTCGGCATTGTGGTCAATTCCGCTCTCGTGGACGCGCATGTGGCCGAATAGACCCATGCGATGAGTGAAGGTGCGAGGGCAGTGTGGGCAGTGGAGGCGAGTGCGGTGGGTGTAGGTCGGTGCTCCAGGCACTGGTTCGCCAGTCCCTGTGCGATGGATTCGCAAGTGACCGACCAGGCCGATGCGAGATGTGAAGGTGCGGTCGCAGTGAGGGCAGGTGTAGTCCTGATCCTCATCACACAACGACAGCGGGCGTCACTCAGCAACCTTCCTATCCACGACACTTGACGTGTCGGGATAGTCTCGGACTCAAGTCTACCCTGCAGCCGAAGCCGCATGGGGACCGAGTCGAGATGCACACGTCCCACTTGCGTAGGAGGTGACAATCGGGTGCATGAGGTGTGTGAGTGTTTATATGTGGTGGTGTGATGGTGGTGGTTGGAGGTATGGAGTGAGTGAATGTGTGGTATGGCCGGCGGTTGTCTACCTCAGGTCGTCGTGGATGCTCATGCGGCTGAATAGGCCCATGCGGTGGCTGAAGGTGCGAGGACAGTGTGGGCAGTTGATTCGAGCTTGATGGGTATAGATTGGTGCACCAGGCACTTGTTCCCCTGTCTCTGAGCGATGGATTCGCAAGTGACCGACCAGGCCGATGCGTGAGGTGAATGTACGTGGACAGTGTGGTTATGGGAAGTCGGCGGTGTGAATGTCAACTATGGAGGAGTCGGTGGTGGCTGTTTTGGTGGTGGTGGTGGTGGTGGTGGTGGTGGTGGTGGTGGTGGTGGTGGTGGTGGTGCAGATGGTTGGAGCGAGGGTGGGGGTGTGCACAGTGGATGTGTTGGATGTGGTTGGTGTGTTGGAAGTGCGGTCAATGCCGCTCTCGTGGATGCGCATGTGGCCGAATAGGCAGAACAATAGGCAGAAGAATAGGCAGAGGAAGAGGTAGAAGAGGTAGAATGAGGAGAATCATTATGGTTGTTGTTGTTATTGGTATTGTTGTTGTTGTTTCTATTTTGAGTGTTTCGACCGCGCCGAGGAGAGGTGCAATACCTTTAGCGGGCGGACAGTAGATGGCGGAGAGGAAGTTCTTCCATTCGTTGTGGTCGCGCGAGCCCTTCGATCTCCATGGCCTTACGGGCCAACCGTGCGTTCTGCATCTCGCGCAGACGCTGTTGCACAAGGCGGCGGCAACGGTAGAATGCCGCTTTGTTGTCGTCTTCGTCGGCGGGGTGGTCTATGTAGGCTTTTAGCAGGCAGTCCTTCTCGGAGAGTAGTTGTAGATGGCGGGATGCGCGACCGAGGACGGGCAGCGCCTGCGACTGGATTTTGTCCTAACAGTTCTCCACGGAGCCGTTCTTGTCAGCGGCGGCGGCGGCGGCGGCGGCGACCGTTATGTTGTCTAGTCGCTGAGGTTGGTCGTTTCTTAAATGGAGATGGTGAGCGGGCAAAGACAACAAGGCAATTTTAAGCTTACCCGGGAGTCATTTACCTTGACTTCTCCTGTTATGTCCCATTGTCTGCGTCTCGCGCCTTCATGCCACCGTGGAGCCGACGCATCATCTGACTTAATCTTTCGCGCTCTTACTCTGTCACTTACGCCACCGTCGTTTATCCTTCCCAGGATAAAATCTTAAGCCTGTATTTCATAAAGGTTGTGCAGTTTTCAAGCAGTGCGATTTTGCTTGGTGTTTGCCTAACTCTGATCGATAACACGCTCTAAAGGTGACTCAGTGTAACGTTCAGCCGCTGAAAGACAACAATTCCACACCAGCATCTGGATCACCTGTGGCTACATTGAGCTTAGGCGAAGGGCTAGCGTAATTCAGGGCAGCAGTCGCTGTGAGACTGAAAAGGAGATTGAGTAGAGAGTGCCTCGTCCTCTTCTTTCACGGAAATCGATGCCCCACCCTGATAACACGCAACGCGGGCGTGCCTGCAATCCTCACACAGGAAACGCTACCCAGCCAGCTCCCCCCTCTGCATAAGATCAGTAGATTTTAGTACAAATCAGTGCACCTAGAGTGGCGTGATCTGCTCGCGTCTGTCTCTTGGTTTTTGAATAATGACAGGTGCCCTAATGCAATGAGTGCAATGTTTGTTAGTCGAAATACAGAGCTGCAGCTTTTCAACCAGATCACGGGGAATTTACCTGACATGTCAGTGTTGTGCCACACCTGAAGGTATAACCACTGTATAGTCTTAAATTGCCTACACGTCAGAACCGAGAGCCCCTTCAGCTTACAGAATATATTTCCTAAAGTCTCACGCATCCACGTTCATTGAATTTTTAAACCTCGGTGCCACGGTGGGATTCGAACCCACGACAGCAAGAGTTTAACTATGTCAAGTAATCCATATCTCCTTATTTTGACTCGCAAGGCGCGCCTATTGCAGCTTGGCCGACTATTGTCGATATCTACGTATTAAACTCAAGAAAAAAGACGCGTTATTTTGATGCGGATATGAAATACTCGGCTTCTCGGTGGAGACGTTTAATAGGGCTAACGCTCTAGTCACACTTGGTAAGAGACTCCACCAGACGAAGCTAAATTAATCGTATCTGCCATGATACCTATGAATTACGCGAGACTCGTAGCCATCAGGTGAATTCTAGATGAATAAATTAGAAAATACTGCTTGGGAAATCAACTTACTTTATCAGATCTGGTGAATACCAGACCTTGAATTAGATCGGACGGGTAAACTTGATTTAGATGTGGTTCAGCTCGCGTCGTACGGTGGGGACTCGTATCTAAGGTGGCTAGAACGTCGGCTGTACTAAAGCCTCTCTTGACTGTCGTGGGTTCGAATCCCACCAGTTAGGCTTAGGAGCAACGGAGACTGAACCCACTTATTTTTCAGAAGAAAAGCATTCTTAACAGAGTAATTTTGGTGTGAGTATATTCACTCGATCGCTGGAGCGACAATAATGTTCACTTGATTTTCCGGATTCTTTTTTGCTGAAGGAGAGAAACAGACTAATGTCGTGGACGTACAGAGGGTGAAATTTTTATAAGCTGCAATTCCTATGCTATCATGCGCATGTTCATAATGATGAAGCCGCATTCATTGCAGCTTTTCTTGATTCGTTTGACGATTTCCCAAGTAAATGTGTTTAAATTGTGACTGTTCTCGATCTAGCCGTTTTTTAAATACTAACATCATCCTTGGTTCTAAAAACCGACTTTGGCGATTGTTTGACTTTGGAAACGGGAATTTTCGTTAGAAATGCGGTTTGCCTGGCAGGCTGAAGTCGACACAATTTTGAAATTTGCTGAGTGCCCCTTTCCAATTAATGCCAGACGGACCCCGATCTGTTCAGATTGGCAAAGTTGAGAGATCCTGGTTGATTATTTGTCTAATAGAACTACCGCTGATCCATTCACAATGCTCCGGCGTAGTCTTAACTGGCACTACCTTTTCTGGACATTTGATTACCAGGTCGTGTAATGCACCATTCTATCGAAATCGCACATTCGGTTAGTTTTAATTCTCAAGGCTTTAATTAATTGTGCAGGTATGTGTATACCTGTGTGCGGTCTACTTGCAAGGAGCCTTTTAATGCATTAAAAAGCACACACTAAAAACTCTGCCAACTGCCAATTTTGTTGTGTTTAGTTTAAGTCTGGCAGTAGTTCCAAGGTTTCTCCACCAATGAGATATATCCACCTATCTATCATCGACATAACCGGCAGTATCTTGTTTAGCCATCTGAGCACTTGGTCGTTTCAAACACCCCGCAATCTAAACCGCGCACCCGATTCGTGTTAATTCACAATACTTGAATAGTCTGTGAACGCATCCGTGTACATATGGACTGTCTGCCATTTAGATATTTTATAGCGCCGATTTCCCTCTCTAAATGTCCCACACGCATGCACATATCCGTGTCCGATCGTCGGATGTCAGACTGTTTCTATATTAAAGGACAGTAGGATGTTAATAAACAGTTTGTTTATTTAATGCACATTCCGCTACGACGAAATTTATCATACGTAAATCCACTTCTTACGGAGCTCGTCGACTTCACCGTTGATGGACTTGGAGGCGAGCACCTGTATATGACTGTGCTTAATTTAAAACTCAGTGTGTGTGTGTGTTCACCCTTTCAATGTACAAGGGTTCTAAAATCAGAAATCATTATTTCATTTTCCGCATCTTCTCTTCCTCCTCCTTGGTTTGCTGTCGTAGATTATGCATCTCTAATTCATGCGAATATACAAACACGCACATTTAAAAAAATGAAATCATTAAGTACGTTAGAGACTCGTATTGCACGTGATCATTCGGTGAATTCGTAATTGACTGGACATATTGCACCTATGTTCGGTGGAACACTAATACAGATTGACGAATGGGCGCTAATTTAGCCTTGGACTGGCGTGTTTCGTTGTTAATCACAACTCCATCGCATTTGTTTCACGTTGAACGTAAGAAGACTTCTGATCGCAAATTATGGATATTTACAATAACTGAATAATAATGCCTTCTTTGTCGGAGGTAATCATGTAGGTATAGAGAAGACTGCGTTTTCTCTTAGGAACAACTTCGGAGACCGATATCACATAATTTTCAGAACAGGAGCTTTCTTAACAGTGTAATTTTACTGTGAAGAAAATCACTCGATCACTAGGGCCAAAGTAATGTTCACTTTTCGAACAAGGAAAGCAACAAATTGAAGTTGTGAAGGAACAGAGGGTGTAATATGCAAAAGCTAAACTTCCTCTAATATTACACGCATATTCTTAATAATAACGTGTGCACTCCTGCAAATATTCGCAATTCGTTTTATGATCTGTCGAGTAGATATGTCCAAAATGTGACTGACGGCGATCTACCCGTGTTTTAAGTAATAAAACAGCCTTTTGTTTTCATAACCGACTCTGACATTTTTAATGGAAATGTGGATATCTAGCAAGGAAAAAGTCTACGTATGTCTGAAAGTCGGACCCAATGTTTGGCATTCTGTGAATGCACGTTTCCAATTAACACCAGACAAACCCCGACCTAGTCCGCATGTTTTTCAGCGCATCTGCCGCTTGAGCGGTTTTAGGGACACTGCCATTGTTCAGGTACGTACACGCTCAACGGCTGCGCACGCCGCTGACTACCTGCTGCCAAGGTCATCTGGGGGCGCCTCTACTCGCATTCAGCATTCGGCCATCTGGCGAAATCTGCCAGCTGCGTCATCCATCGAGCACGATCGATTTTCTTTCGTCAGGCGCGCAGGCCACCTCACGGTCCACGGCCCACAAACTGGAGGTGCGCCGCTGATAACTGACTGTCCACCTGGTACGCATCATGAAGCAGGGTATTCTCACGTAGACAGTGCCGATTCAGTTAACCATATCTGTGGTTGCACCTTAATCACTAATCATGGTTATGTTCGAACATGCGTTTTCTCAAATACCCGTGACATCAATCATGTGAGCTTGTCGTGCTCGGTGAAATCTTTGCTAAGCATATGTGCCGAGACAGCCTAACCGCTAAATCTTTCTCAGAGGAAGTAACGGATCAGTTGGTGCTACGAAGACAGACAGCGTACATGCCGCCAACATCTTCCGTAGACCGACTACCATGGAGGGTAAAGTTCCATGATATATCAGGTCATAGTCACTTATGCAGAATTCCCTCAATAGCGAAGCCCGAAAACAACTCACACAACAGTATAACGCATTTTGTGGGGGTGGGCTATATTTGCTTAAAGGAGTGGGACACTATTCAGACTTGGTGACATCTGTCTTAATGCATAATGCCAAGTCCACCATCCACGTTCTAACTGTTCCTGTAGCCTGTCGCCGCCGTTAGTTGTACTCCCGAAAATGAGCATCTCCCTCGTAAAAAATAACTGGTTCATGCATTTCATTCCTTGCAGAGGTAAACACATCATTTATAATCGGTCACCTTAGATCTTGGGCACTGCACACCCATTGGACGTTTTCAATAAAAACGACAAAACAGGTTAATTTGCAAGTCGTATATTTCTTAATTTGCGGGTTATAGAAGGAACATCAAGAAATGCAGAAGTTTACATACGAATGCTTGCAGCTCCAACGATCTTTTTGATCGTCTCCAGTGGTTTCTTCAACGACCAGGTCCAAGCTGTCAAGTCGTTGCTGACATCAGCTGATCCACCAGGTGCTGTGAAAGTCTCCGCCGTGTTTCCTGAGCCTGCATATTGTTAATAATTCCAGTGAAATTCGACTTTCACAAATATGAAAATAGAGAAAATAGCATACGATTTACACAATACCGCTAGTAATACTTTATTTAAATAAAACTCAGAGTGGACAAAGTAAGCTCTGAACGCAGTATCAACTGAAGACGCGTCAAACATTCGGCTGCATGATTCTCGTAAAAATTGACTTTAATAAGCAGATGATTTGCACTACAAACAGCCTACCATCGGCCCTAACCTCGTTGTGTTTACGAAGATATCGAAACGCCATGCAAAGTAACACTTTCACATGGTTGCCGTCATAGGAATGTCTTAATCTTCCTCATGAAAAGGGATTACGTAGACAAAACACATGGAATGGCATGCAATAGGGCGTGAGAGGAGAGTGGAGGAGGAATGCAGTCACGCTGTGCGTCAGTTTAGAGCAAATGAGGAGGAGGAGGAGGAGGAGGAGGAGGAGGAGAACAGCAACCGATTGGATTTGTAGGCTAGCAGGGGGTAAAATATGCATAGGCTGCAATTCCTCTACTATCACGCGCATATTCTTAATAGTAACCTCTGCACTCATGCAAATATTCGCACTTCGTCTCATGATCTGTCGAGTAGATATGTCCAAATTGTGACTGATGGCGATCTACGCGGGTTTTAAGTAACAACACAGCCTTTTGTTTTTGTAACCGACTCCTACATTTCTGACATCGGTAACTGATATTTTTGATGGAAATGTGGATATCTAGCAAGGACAAAGTCTACGTAAGTCTGAAAGTCGGATCCAATGTTGAAATTTCTTTAGTGCACGCTTCCAATTAACGCCAGATGTAGTCAGTGTGTTAATCCAGCGCATCTAATGCTCGGCCGGTTTTAGGGACGCTGCCATTGTTCAGTGACGTACACACGCAACGATTGCGCACACGCCACTGACGACCTGCCGCCAAGGTCATCTAGGGGCGCTTCTACTCGCATTCAGCATTCGGCCATCTGGCGAAATCTACGTGCACGGACTGCACGACATAGAAGGGCGACACGTGGCCCTTCAGTTGGCCTGGGCGGGCACTCCTAAATGTTGAGCAACCAAGGAGACGTCGACTGGCAGCCACCACCAATGAAGCGCACATTATCTCCTCGCATGCTTCAGAGTGTCACAGAACGCTTGAGAAGGAGCTATTTCAGCCTGGCTCACAGCGTATTTGTCCGCCACTCCACACACTCGAGAAGACGCCGTGACAGCCTGACTGTCAGTCCATCGGTCAGCCACACCGAAGAACACACACACACACAACTGGGCAGACTGTGTGGACTGATTTGGGGCGTCAGTCAGCAGCCTTCTGAGCCACAGAGATTAACACGCCCTGATGGACTCAGACACGAGCCACACACGCAGCAAGAACAGGGCAGCCGCATGGAGAAGTTGGCAAGACGCATTGGTATGCGTGAGATGGGGTGGATGATGTTGACGTGCGCTGCGATTCTGGTGATTTAGGATGAGATGGAGTGGTGCAGCCGGCGGTTATCTACCACCGGTTTTCGTGAACGCGACTGTGGCCAAATAGAAGCATACGGTGAATAAATGTGGAAGTGGAATGTGGACAGTGGTGGCAGGTACGACGGGTGTAGGTCGGTGCTCCAGGCACTGGTTCGCCAGCCTCTGTGCGGTGGATTTGCGAATGACCGACCAGGCCGATGTGTGAGCTGAAGGTGCGGCCGCAGAGGGGGCAGATGTAGAGCTGGTCCTCTCCTCTGCAGTCGGATGATGTAGGCGTGGTGTCTGTTGTTGTGTCGGGGATGTGTGTGGTGTTGTCCTGCGTGACATTAGCCTGAGCGGCCGTGTTTGGGGCAGT